ATGTTGATCCGGTGTCCCTCGACTTCGTTGTCGATTTTGAGTCAGTGTCTACTGGTACTAAAAGTATGTACTCCACGTACAGTCCGCGTCATGACAGGTGTTATAGGCAGCGAGGCCACTTTGATCATAAGAGGTCATAGTGTAGTGTATGTCGACTGAGGCGCACACACACCGTTGTAGGAGGCAATGCGTTTATTAAACAATTCAATGTACACCGGATTCTGTTGCTAAGTGGTGCTAACTTGTCAGGCTGCTCACTATGTGCGTGCATGTTAACTCGTGATCCCCGACACGAACCCCAAATCGCTCCCCCTTTAGGGGCCGTCCATAAATGACGTCACGCGATATTGAACGATTTTTGACCCCCCCCTCGTCACACTGCTTCACAAAAAGTCAGACCCCCTTCAAATATGACGTCACAAAGCTCTGCCTCCCCCAAAACCATATTTCCATTTTGAAAATAAAACATGCTTCAAATCGCTTTAAACTATTGTCATTGTAGTGCTAATTTAATGTGGCGCTGCACTCTGATGTAGTAGGAGAAAACACATTAAAAATTAGGCGTTTGGAAGATTAAATTTAGCATAAAATTCACTTGAAAATATTCAACGACTAACTAAAACTGCAGATGTTCAGAATATTATGTTGAAATTATCTTATAATTACAAAATATTAAAATTAATTATAACTGTAAAAAAAACTTGAAACTTTGAAGTAGAACGAAGCAAAGTGGAGAGTACAATTATAACAATCATATATTCATTCCACAGAATGAAAAGCCCTGGTAGAATCATTAGAATCAATATGTTGACTAACAATCATTTAAAAAAATGTTGAAAATGTATGCTTCTCCATTCTCCTATGGAGAAGCAAAATGCTCCTTCATGGAATAAATAAAAGGTGACCTTAGCAAATTTAAATAATCAAATAGTTAATAATGAAAATTAATCAAAATGAGTGTTATTATAACAATTCTATGTTTATTTAAAGTTGTGCATTTTGATGTGACGTCACATTTATCAACCCCCCTCTCCCCCCCTCGTCGCACATCGTCACAAATCATCACAAATGTCTGACCCCCCTCCCCTAAGTGTGTGACGTCATTTATGTACGGCCATTTATCGCTTTGCCCCCGCCCCTCCCCTTGCTGTATCAAGCCGGCGCTCCCCGCTTCCTGTCACGTGTCCTTAACTTCTCCAATCGAGGCACCGCTTCAGGTCACGTGGCTCTTGACTCCTCCAATCGAGGCCCACTTCTGGTCACGTGGCCTCAACTCCTCCAAGCGAGTCTCATTTCCGGTCACGTGCCCTTAGCTCGTCCAATCGAGGCACCGCTTTTGGCCACGTGCCCTTAACTCGTCCAATCGGGCACCACTTTCGGTCCAATGCCCTTAGCTCATCCAATCGAGGCCCTCTCCCGGTCACGTGCCCTTAGCGCGTCCAATCGGGGCACCCGGCGCCTCTCCAGCAAAGCAGCTGGCACGACCCACAGAGACATTTAACTGTCTACACTCACAGTAGAGGCTGTAGTCACGACACTACAAAAGTAACAATATCACCTGTTGTACAGTACTTATATCGCCACACGTATGCACTCCCCACCCTCACCCCACCCACACTCACCAAGGTGAGGCGTGCTCTAGTACCCCCCACGTCTACACTCCTCACCCCAACCACACTCACCAAGGTGAGGCGTGCTGTAGTTTCCCACATCTACACCCCCCACCCTCACCCCACCCACACTCACCAAGGTGTCCAATTCACTTTTTAACTTGAATAACTGCTATTATTTTCGATAAATGTTGCTTAGGAAACCGCATTAACCAGCATGGTGAGGTATGGTCGAATAACTCCACTATTCGCACAGCATGGGAAGGCCCTCATCCAGAAGTGGACAGTTAAAAGGGCTTGAACACAGTAGACGGGGCAAGTCCGGGCCTTTGCCCAGTAACATCTGTGAGTGTTGTTTCAAAGGACATTGTCTGCAGTGATTGAGGACCTGCTGAGGCATTTAAACCAGCGGCAAGGTTCACATAATTTCTATTGCGGTACTTGTTGCCAATCCCTGCTGCGGGCTCCCATACTGGAGCCCTCATCCCACAATGCCGGGACATCTCTTTGGATCATGATGTTGACGACGCGTTCAGCTGTTGATGGCAACAAACAGGTGGCAGCACATGGCCCTTCGCAGTCGCATGACTGACGGCTTGCGAAATTACGACTGCTGCCCTGACTTGTGATGCGTGCACAATTATTTATCCATAATACACGAACGCGTACAGAGTTAGCCTGGCTCCTCTACCGCGACCAAGCGATGGTGCAGCACGCTGACGGAGTGGCAAACCTGGCAGGAGACAGCGCTACCGGCAGGAGTACAACACCCACGTCGTGCTGTGTGGGACTCTCTCCAAGCTCAAGGATTGTTGTATCAAGATGCACCATCAGCCATGACCTATCCCCTGCAACATACACACCTCCCCAATCCGTCACCATAAGTCATGCTCTTGTGATGCCACAATCTATACAGGTCCCGTACATGACCCAATTCATTGCTCTGTGGTCACGGTGGACATCTTCTCAGGCGTCATTTAGCTGCCATGCCATCATTAGTCTCATCCACTGGCCATAATCCCCTCCAGTAACGTGTCCTGCACAAGTCCACTTCTCTTAAGTCAATGGCTTTCTCTAATTGCCCAATATTGATCTGTTCTCGTGGTGGTCGCATGGAATGTCCTCCTGGTCCTCCGATTTTACCCTCCGCATTTAGAAACACGCATGTACATTATTTATAAACACTCGTGTACATTATTTTAAAAAATCCGGCTATACATTATTTAGAAACACGTGTACCTTATGTAGAAACACGTGTACATTATAGAGAAACACGTATGTACAGTATGTAGAAATACGTGTACATTATGTAGAAACACGCATGTAGATTCAGTAGAAACACGTGACATATAGAAACACTCATGCACATTAAGAAGAAACACGTGTATATTATGTAGAAACACACGTGTACATTATGCAGAGACAAACATACATTATTTAGAAACACACGTGTTCATTGTTTAAAATATACGGGTATACATTATTTGGAAACACATGTACATTATGTAGAAACACGGGTACATTGTCGAAACACGCGTGTACATTATGTAGAAACACGTGTACATTATGTCGAAACACACGTGTACATTATTTAGACACGTGTACATTATGTAGAAACACACGTGTACATTATTTGGAAACACGTGTACATTATTTAGAATATACGGGTATACATTATTTGGAAACATGTACATTATGTAGAAACACTCGTGTACATTATGTAGAACCACATGTGTACATTATGTAGAAACACGCATGTACATTATTTTGAAACGTGTGTACATTATTTTGAAACACGTGTACATTATTTGGCAGCTATAGATTGCTATAAAGGGTTTTAAACCACTTCGATGAGCTATCATGTGTAAGGTGGTCGCCTCTAACACGTTCCTTCGGAGTGGGCAGGTAGGAACTTGGTTGGACAGCGCATTCGTGCACGACAGACAAATATGCACGACAGACAGACAAATAATCCCTGGTGGGCAGTGTGGAACCTGATGTTCCTACCTATATAAACAAGCTCCTAGCTCAGTTTAAATTACCTGTTGAATAATATAGATGAGTTGAGTCTCCTTCACAACCCACACTGACCAGTGCAATGAAGTATAGTCAAAATCCCAATGACAACATGGCATATGGGAGGCCTTCATCAAGCAGTGAATTGTATAACACGCGTGGAACACGACTGTGGCTTCTTTCTCACAAACTACACAATTTAGCATGACACCACAGAAGGCATCTCCAGTCCATGTTGATCATGGGGGTTGTTTGACTATACTGTACTTCACCTCGCTGGTCAACGTGGGTTGTTTAAGGAATGATGGAGGGCAGACCAGGGTTAGATATTACACGCTATGGCTACGCACCTGTACACAGGTACATGAGGAAGATCATAAAGCTACAGTGTGTTTGTACTCACACACACACACCTGTATGCAGGTAGATAAGGGAGATCATGCAGCTTCACTGTGTATCTGTACCCACACATCTGTACATAGGTACACAATGTCCCGTTGTGACTCATCGCCAATGTTGATTCACAGAAAGGGCGTCCGAGATTGAGCAGCATCACTTCCTCACGGTGCTACAACTCTACATTGCCGATCAAACGCGTCGGAGCGTGAGGAAGTTCACGCGCGGTGCTACTGCAGGGGTAATGGCACCGCTAGGTAGGAGACGGTGCCGCAGTCCTAGCGGCTGTGTGAGCTGGGGGCCGCTCCCTCGCGCTGGGGGCCGCTCCCTCGTGCTGGGGCTGCTGCTGGCGCTGGGTGAGGGGAGGGGTCAAGCAGCGGGACCCCAACCTGGCGGAGATTTCAGTGCAGAGCTCGAGGAGATTGTTGAGGCCGCTGGCCCCCGAGGTCTCTCCCTGCTGCGCGCCGACTGCAGGGGTCCCGCTGTTTCCCGACCCTTCGCTGTTATGCGAACAGCTGCTGCCGCCGCTGGGCTCATCGCTCGCGGAGTAAGGGCTGTCGCCCGACGGTTCCCCTCCCTGGGTCGCACCTCCGCGGGTTCACGAGAGAGGCATGGCTCGTCGCCGGCTCCCATACGCCTGTAAACACTGCGTTGCCTCTCCGCCAATCAAACGCGACGCCTCCCCTCACACAGCCCCGTGCAGCAATCACACGCTCTGAACGGGGGGTCAGGGGTCGGAGGGCGAATGACGTTGCTCGCACGCGCGGCCGCCGCGAGCGGGTGATAACGCTCGTTTAAAGGGGCCGTGGAACAGGTATTTACGGTGGATGTGAGCCCTCACACAGCACAAGTCTCCACGGTGACAGAACGGAGCGTACAACCTTGGAAACACCGAAAACCCCCATTACGAGCGCACACACACACACAGCACCACGCGCTTTCACCCGCTCGTCCAAACCACACGAGGCTGCGGTGGGTTATTAATGATTTATTCTCGGCCGACTGGGATTCACTGTTGGGTCAGTAGAGATCGGCAAGGCAGGCCTATACTATCGCCCAAGGGTCTGTACCCGATTTATCTAATTTGATAGGCTCTCAGCAGGTTTGGTTTTTCTAGCCTCAATCCCAATACTCTTTTACCTCTTACTCATGGTTAGATGCGCACGGCGCTCCGTTGGTCTCGTCCTCGCCGCTCACCTCGACGCGTCACACGGACGTTTGAGTGGCCGAGCTGGAGACCGTCCCGAGGGCTGACTTTTGGAGCAAGAGAACGCTTTACCCCTCTGTGCCCTCCCTTTATCCTTAACCTACATCAAAGAACTCCGACCCGAGGACCCTCTCGGCCAATCAGGTTGCCGCGTCCGTTCAGCCGCATTCCCAGTTTCCCTAACAATGGGTCCCCCGCCGATTGCGGCGCCGGCGGTGGTCCACGGGCACCTTTGCTATGCTAATCGAATGCGGTTTCCGCAACACAGGCTCGCCGCGGTCTGCTGCACGGCGGCAGTCGCCGCGCACACCTGCCACGCCAATCAGCCACCCCCCTTGGCTTCCACTTCGTTCGTGGCTGTGGACCCCTGCCTGCCTTGCCGATACGTGTGTGGGGGTGCGTTTCAACCGTGGTGGCTGGACAGCCCTCCGCCGTGACCATGCAATCTCAACCCAGGTCACAGCGCCGCGGTGCGAATTAGCATCGGGGGAGGTCACCCAATTCCCTGGCCGCAGGAAACCGTGAAGATTATCCCTTCGAGGGCTTTCGGGTGAAAACCTGCCGGCCAGGTGACTTCCCCTCGGAGCTCTATGGGGGGGGGAAATGTGTGAGGGTGTGTTTATGTGGGGGGCGGTGAGGGGTAAGCGGGGTCGGCCCTGTCGCTTGGTGGTGGCGAGGTCGTAGATGGGGCGCCCGCCGAGCGGCTTCGCGGCGGCGGCATCACACAGTCTCGCTGCATGGCTTACAAGCACCCGCCAGCTGCAGCACATGCTGTGAGCTCACGCTGCAATGTGGCATTAATTGTTGTTCAGTAACTCCTAAAATTAAATATACACGGATTTTGGAGTTTTTCGCCAGGTGACTAAACATGACTAACATCCGTTAAATTTTCACGGATTTTTGGAGTTGTATAGGTTTGGGAACCGTATAAGTTATTCCCACAGTACACCACAGATTCTAGGATGGGCGAAACCCGTCCACCATATCACCCCAGATTAATCATGTTTTATTGTATTTGCATACACATTGAATGGACATTTACATGTAACATCTGCATGTGTCATAATATATTGGAATATCTATTACATAAGTGGCTTCATTCAAATGAAAGCACAATCACGCGGTGGTGATGTTATTTCCCTCGGCTGGTATGCAGGAGCGCATGGATTCGATCCTGATCCTGACAGAAATTGTATGTAGTCCCTGCGGTCATGTGGATAATTATATGAGGACTACGGTATGGCCCTTCATATTTAGAAACGTGCATTGAGATTGTGGCTCCTACGATGCGTGGCTAGATCAACTCTGAAAAGAAGGCAATAGCTCCGCGGGCTTTACCTGGTAAATACAAGTTTAGTTTAAAAACTGAGAGAATTGTGCAAATAAAGCTACATAGCAATGCTTAAGTAATTAATATTAAGCAATGGCTGTTAAGTGATTAATATTAACTAGCCTTTTGCCCGTCAAAGGACGGGTGTATTGCAGTAAATCTGGAACTTGCAAGTGAAAAGCAGACCGCGACGTGATATTCATTCCATAAATTCGTGTGTATTTTGTACGGCCGCGGTGACACAGAATTATTTCATTTAAAGGTTATAAATCCTTGTTCATCATGACGCCCTTTTTACTTCTATGTCTCAACAGCGTTATGGAGATTGCGTGACGTGAGGGTTCTGCCTTTGGAGTGAGGGTTGTAAGTTAACGCTGAGGAGGGGGGAGGAGGTGCCTTGCCCCCCCATATGGAGAGACGTCACCCGCTAATTATTATTAATGGAGGGGTTGTGTCCATTTGGAGGACGTCACCTGTTCATGATTATTAATGAGGGGGGCTGTTCGATGTGGAGTGACGTTAACTGCTCATGATTATTAATGAGGGGGGCTGTTCGATGTGGAGTGACATTAACTGCTCATGATTATTAATGAGGGGGGCTGGTCCATGTGGAGTGACGTCACACGCGGGACACATTCTTGGCTCATTATAGGAGCAAATTGTTATTAAGCGTGGTCAACAAGAATTAGTTTCATTCACTCTTGAGTATGCGTTCCTCCGATAACGCCGTCTGTGCCCGTCCTTGAGGGTGCGCCGCGTTGCCTGTGTCGTAATAGTCTTGGCACTCGGCGGAGAATGTCTTTAAACACATGATGCCATTTCTGAGCTGAAAAACGGAGATATACTTGTTGTTAATGAATTACAGCACATCCAGACGTGTCGTGCATTTGAAGACTGGTTGGAGACAATGGTGTGCACTCGAATGTGTGTTGTGAGCAGGAAGTATCAGCCAAAATGTTTACATTTGATTTCCACTGCATAACTTCAAAATGCTATTATAATAAAAATGATGGCAGTTTTGTTTTGCAGCAAATAACTACAATGTCTTCTTGGTTCTTTCGGTAAAGTCACGTAGAAGGGAAGTAATAAAATAATAAAAAATAAAACATAATAAAACAATTCTCACGACGTTTCGGCCACAACGCAAGCAGCCGTCCTCAGGTGAAAACCAGGTCCGTCGAGGCGACAGAGTCTGAATGAAAGAGCACACGAGCTTGGAGCTGCAGTTACTGCTGCTGTAACTGCAGCTCCCTTTGATGCTGTTAATCCTGCATAATGCACATGCATATGCAGTACTAATCACATTCCTGCATTTCCCATAAATATGCTAAATTCCTTTTGATATGCAAATTCCTTTGTCAATGCGCCCAGCTTATATATATGCTCCAAGCTCGTGTGCTCTTTCATTCAGACTCTGTCGCCTCGACGGACCTGGTTTTCACCTGAGGACGGCTGCTTGCGTTGTGGCCGAAACGTCGTGAGAATTGTTTTATTATGTTTTATTTTTTATTATTTTATTACTTCCCTTCTACGTGACTTTACCGAAAGAACCAAGAAGATGAATCCCTGCAGTCACGAAAGCTTTAAATCGAAATTTAACTACAATGTCCTCCATGCACATAGGAAAAGCTGAGTATTAAGACGTTTTTAGAAAAGTCCTGCATTTTGATGTTTAGCCAATTCTGTTAATGGCTGTTTAACATTTGGGAAGAAACCAGAATACCTGCAGATAACCCATACATACAGGGAAGTAATGCCTAAAGCTCTGCACAGATGGATTTAACTGTCTATTGATGTACTGCTATCTCCTAATCACCTTACAACCCAAGTCTACATCATCTGGCATATTTCCAGGTAGTCTCCCACCAGAATACTAACCAGGCTCAAGCCTGTTAAACGTCCGAGATCCGATGAGATTGGGTGCATTGAGGGTGACTTGATCGTAGACATTTAAATCAGATACGGCTGTTACTGCACATGCATGACTTGAAGAGCCTCTGCCACATCACACAGCAGCATTACTGCACGCGGCGTAGGTCAAGGATGCAATGTCGGTGCGGTAAATGCACGCTTAATAATTTGTGAAACGCACAATGTATGACTGCACCACGCTTGCACACCCATGGGAAAGTAAACAGTTACATATATCTACAATGCAGCAATAACTTTCCAGCATAGCCTATACCGTGTTACGTATTTCCACTGCTCTCAATAGGTAATGTGGGCATGCTCTCCAATGGGCACAGCTATCGCTAGCCATGCCTGTCTTGGAAATGGGGTTATACGGTCGCTCATATTCCTTTAGATTGGTGGTTGTCAAACTGTTGTACAGCATGAGTAATATGAGCTATGCACAATTATGCCAATGCTGTGAAAGTCATTATGAAGTACAAGCCATTAAAAAACTTAACCATTTGTTGGAATGAAACATAGAATTCCAGTTATTAAAATACATAATTGGGATGAAATGTGTTAATTTTACAAATGTGAAATTACACAAATGATCCCTTGCACTAGGAAGCTCAGCTGTACACCCTGTAGTCATGACTGATAACTCATTGCCAGAACACAGCAGGGCAGCCCTCATGCCAGCACCTCTGTTGAGAGTGCACTGCTGGTGTCAGCACGGTGCCTTGATGTATCTCATGCTTTGTTGTTCTGTGGGTGAGCGGGTTGCTGCTGCTGCTGCTGCTATAAGCGTACACGGTCACTAGAAGATGTCTACCACCGTTCTGGTGAAGTCTGAAACTCAAAAATGGTCACGCTTTGCACAAGCTGTTCGGGATAATCTGTTCTGAGCTGGCTTGGAAGGTATGCATTGTTTTAGCTCTGGTGTCATTCAGTAAAATATATCAGGATATATTTATAATAAACACAATTTTTTTAAACTAGATATGTTTTGCCAACCTACCTGTGGCCAGTGGCAGCAAAAATGTATGCTGGAGCCATGGCAGGTACCCCCCACAATGAGGCACTGCCCCTGTGAAAGAGCTGCCCCTTTATTAGGGTTCCTGTCCGGTAACCCGTTAAAAAGTCCCCAACAATAACTTATTCGAAATACGCACTTACGTCTTTCAATATCGTCATTATCAGCCACGATCAATCCACTGCTGGATGAAGACCTCCCTACGCCATTTATATATCACATTCCATCAATAAAACATTCACTTAACATCCACGCATGCTGATTTCATGTTCACTCCTGATAGCAATGAGACTGTGTATTTGAGGAGATAGCATGTTTGCAAAAAATAGTCCCTTTTGGTCAACCTGGATCAGTGGCTTTTGTCATACAGTTTTCTGGGCTAAACGTATTTGGAACATGCATTGCCATGTCATTCATACTAAGGATAGTTTTTTGGTAGATCTTTTGGACATTAAATACATAAAAATCTGCTCAAATGCATTTAGCTTAGACAAAATAGATAAGCAAACAGTACGCTTCATATCCGTCTCTCTACTTAAACAAAGTCTTACACAACACATAAGCCACGTGACATTCTGGGAGTACAGCACTGATTAAGTTAAAGCAAACGCTGAACTTGGTTTGACAGTGTCTCGTCTATAAAGTGAGACTTGCTTCAATCAGTGCTTGTGAACTGCTACATTTTATAGGTAAGAAACCCCTCTTTAAGAAATTGATCCTATAGTTTGACACAATCATTTGCAGTGTGAAGAATACAAAGATAAAACTAGATGAAAAAAAGTATTTTTTAAGTGGAAACAGATATATGAAGGAGACATTATCTGCTCATCTATTTTCTACTTATATTATCCGCAACGATGTGAATGATTATGCTTGGAATAACACTGACACAGGAACACGTGGATCAGAGAACAAATACAAATTATAGACACTGGACGAGACTGGTGACAGAACAGCAGCCAAAGGAGATAACCTTGCTGAGAGTATTGAGTGGTATCAGGTCATATGCAGGAGCGTGGAAGATTGTGGCATCACGGGACCATGTGGGATGGTGACGGCGTGGAGAGTTATTCATCCAGCAGTGTAGAGATTATGGCTCTTGATGAAGGTGGTAATCTAATTATTAGGCCTCCCCACGCCATTGCCATTGGGAAGCAGCCTGTTTGGTGAAGTCCGATGACACCAGTGGGTCCAGCGCATGGCTGGTGGGCTGTGTTCTTGTCACTGAGCCAGTTCACAGAGTCATGCAGCTACATTATCAGAGCCGACTGAAGAATGATCTAAGTATAGACTACATCATATCATCAAGAATATTTTCTGGAGGTGTCATAGCTCTAATCACTTGCAACAACCTGATACCTAATTAACAATTGTTATCCAATTTCCCTTAGACAACATAGAGGCTGTTGGTACTGTGTTCCGTAACTGCAATAAAAATGGCTTAAAGGCTAGTGAACAGTGCAGCTAAAGCATGAAAAATACCTTTAATTTCTTCAGGTTCTGGAAACGTATCTTCATTTTCATGATGTGCTTGAACTGAAATGGCAAAACAAAATGAACTGAGTATTTCTCCCCGCCTGACATTATTTGTATTTTTACTGCTTTCTTCATGCATTTTTAAAGTAGCGAATTGTTAATAATAAATGGATTTGATAATTTCTATATATAGATGTATTAAGGCCTTATTATGTAAATGCATAAAGTCAGTCACTGTAAATGAATATTTTGCATAATTAGAGTAAGGTAGGAACAGGAATTGGGAAGTATTGACCATCTCAGATTGGCTAATGACATGTGAGGTTCATTCCACTCAGTGTGTGCGGTGAAATAAGAGAAACGCAATGTGCTTTGTGCCAAGTCAAGGTTGGGTCCCTGGTACCCACCACTGCGTATCCTCTCCCCGACTGAAACGCAGGCGGTGCACTCCAAAGAGGGAGGCACCGTGGCCTCCTCCACGTCAGTATGGCAGCTCGCACAGACGAGCGTGCGCAATGCTCTTTTGCTCCCTACAACATCGCAGCCCTCGCACACCCTGCTTACTAGCAGCATTCATTGCCATCTTGGTGTTGCCTAAGGTAAACTTATCCTTGAAAGGAGCTCACCATAAGGACACAGAGGACATGAAAGCAATATGATGAGGCCACTGAGAGACTTGGGCTGGGAGCTGCCAGCACGGAGCCTGGAAGCTACGCGACGGCTGGAAGTGATGCCTGTGTAGTGACATAGAATGGGTCGCTACGGCGCATAGTGCTGGTTACTGACAGAGAGGGGAATTGTGGGTGTAGCAGAGCATGCAATGCCATGGAATGGGTCACTAGGGTGAGCAGCGCTGGTTGCTGGCAGAGAGGAACATCTGAGGGCGTAACAGCCCGGTCGGCCAACAGGACACGTGATAGGCCGAGGTAAGGGATGTAGGGCAAAGGTGACAGAGGGGACACGTGGGGTATAGCCAATAACCTTCTGGTAGTTTCCAGAAGGGGGCGTGGCCGAGGGCGGAGCCAGGCCACGTTGGGGGGCATAAAAGGGAGGTCCCCGAGGCGGGATTGAGGCTGTCGTTTGGAATGGAACCCGCCGTGCTACGTCTTGGTCTCCTCGGCGTCGTGGGTCAGGCGTCATGGGTCAGGCAGCGTGCCGGCTGTCCTGACCCATCTGTAGTTATACCGTGTATGAACATAAGTGTTTAAGTGTATAATAAAAGTATGTGCCTCCTATTATTAGGGTCTCCGAAATGACTCACTACACATGAGTGGGGGCGGAGACTGCTTTGAAGGAGACCCACATGAGCAACTCATAGCTCAACTAGTTTGAACAACAACCATATATTACGTGGCATTATGACTGCACTTCAGTCATGATAACCAATTAAAATAAATACAGGACATTGTTGAATACAAAGAGTGAAGGCTGTAAAGGTAAACATGCATAAAATCAGAGTCATATACAACACGTTCACTCAAAAAAAGATAACTGTTGAAAAGGCAAGACTAAAAACTACAACCATGCATCTCTCGACTTTTTGCCAAGCAGTGCGCAGATGGTGATCTGGAAGTTAAATATCCCCTGACCTATGCCTAAATTGGCTAATATGGGAGCATGGTGGTGTGTATACATCCTTCCGGCAGAGATGACAACAGGCAGAACAAGTATCACTTACTCGATGTGAAAGTAAAATCCATCATCAGTGTATAAATGTCCATCATCACTTCCAAAAGTCCGTTTTCCACAGCGTCACTTTGTAGGCACTTTTGCATTTCCTTGAACAGTTCTGAAAATGGGAATAGAGCGTGGTTATGCAAGGTGCTCTTGGTAAAGGATAAAATATCTAATTGCCATTATAACATTTTTGGGTTAGGCCACAATGATGTGACCAAATCTGTTATATGAACCGTCCATCACCTGATACTGCCAAATAAATTACTCATCACTTGTACAAGTGTTTAACACATAAATCATAATTGTTTCAACTCACCGATAAGTTGAAAAAAAATACTTCCAACCAAATTTAGCGATTCGATATGATATTTTATTTTAAACTATGTCCAACATCATCAAGACAAGATCCAGGAAGTAACACACCAATCCAGGGAGTTAAGAGTAACTGTGCCACCTCATCTGGTTTCTTCAATAAGTGTTATGGCTTGATTGGAAGCTTTCGTGACTGCAGGAATCCATACTCTATTGTTCTTTCGGTAAAATCACGTAGGTATAAAATAAAATAAATCACGACGTTTCGGGCGCAACACAAGCGTCCGTCATCAGGTGGGAAAGCAAAGTCTGCTGCAGAGGAAGACTGTTTTAAAAGATTTGAATTGGGTGTAGCTCAAGGGTTATAAAGAAGTGGCTGTGGCTAGTGATGTTAATGTGAGAAATTAGCATGTAACTGTAAGACAGAAGAGCGGCCTCCTAAACAAGGGCACGGAAGTGGCTATGTTAATGTGAGGGATAAGCATGATCTTAAAGTGAGAAATTATGACTTCCTGGATTGTTATCTTGACTTCCTGCATCGTCAAGTTGATGTTTGAAGCAGTTTCAAATGAAACATTGTATCTAATTGCTAAATTTGGTTGTGAGGATTGTTGGTCAATTCACCAGTGAGTTGTAACAATAATAATTGAGACCTTAAAGCTTATACACGTGACAATGCAATTCCTTTGGCTGTGTTAGGAGGTGATGTGTCTTAACAACACACATTTCATAATATAGATTTTTGGGGCAGATCGCGTTATTTATAAATGTGTCATAACCCTCCACCACCCAACACATTTGTTCAGATCATTATATGGCCTAATTCAAAAATAGAGTATTAATCGTCGTGTTGCCTACACCAATTTAAGTATTAAGATAAAACATCTCGTTTAGTAATTCTACACTTGATATACTTACATTTAATGTAGATATTTGTAAGTGTAAAACGTGAATTGTATATTGAATTCCCCTGAGGAAACGTCTAAGTGCTCGAAAGAGCTAAGCATTGCACTGGCGAGTTAAGTATAACAACACCAAATAGAAAGGGGTTAGGGTGATTAAACAACCAATGGGCATCCTGTACTAATTTACTTGAGCAGCTTAGTGAACTGGTTTTCAAGGCATGGCTGTCACATGATGCCAGAGGCATCAACAGATACACTGGGGCCTGACGTTTGGCTGCAATGAAATCTAGAAAAATATTGATAAACAAAAATAATTCTACAGAGGCTGGATGCATTCCTGGAATGGTTTGTGGATGGCTTTTCTGTAACAGTTAACTACCCATCAGTATGCTTGCTGTACGTGCCACGCCCTGCTGGAGAGACCCTTTTAAGTTGATTCCAGTCTAGGAGCTGTCTTTCTAAAACGTCTAATTTGACAAATTGGTAAATATGAGAAATATTGGTACACACCTGGTCCCCCTGCACGAAGAAAAGCCGCTTTGGCAAGAAGTCTCTTCTCCACTGAAAGGACGGCATTCAACTTGTTCCATATAGTTTGCAGGGCCTTTACCGTAGAATGGTCAAAGCTGTAAATAAATGCCACCCCACAATGTTATTACCACCATGATGATTCCAAATAGCTTATTCTGCCTGACACACATGACCATTCCCATTAACACATATGAACAATACATGTTGGTTTAAATCAATACTGTAAATGCCAAAGCGAATGAAAATGATTCATGTTAAATAGAATGTGTTGCAATTCCTCTCTTGGAGATGATTTGCGCATTAGCTCAAGTTTACATGAAACGACTGCTTTAGGCGTGCATTCTAAGAAGCATAGTCAATGACTAAATGAAGCAACAATTAAACTTGCACCTATTGATGCACACAGCGTGCTGCGGATTGCCACTCAGGCTCTCTCAGTTTAGAGCTGCAGGAGTCGTGTGCACCATGCACAGGATGTCGCCTGCCTACACTTACCTCTACAATCATGCTTTTGAGCGACTCTGAGCTTGGCTCCGCGCCTCTGAGTTGCGGCCAATACGTCTGCAAATTTGCGCGCGTTACAAATTGAACTATTATTATTATTATTACACACCTCCCATGGGCACACATCTAATGCTGCTTCCTTCAAAAGGAATAAGCGATCTCATTACTAGTTACAAGGTCTCAGTTGCATCCAAATTGGAAAGACGATGGAAGAATCTGAATTTGTGCTGACAAGCTCTAGATTTGGATCACTGAGCACATTTGTAAATTATGGATGTCATAAGTCACATGATTCCAACGGATAGTGATGCCCTGGGGTTCACCACAATGAAGCAAAAACTATTTTAGACCCATACAGCTGTTGTACATTTTTTCCGTGAGTCATGTGGGGTGTTCAATCTGTGTGTCTGCCTGATGCCAAGCCAGACCCTGCCGGCATCCCTCGATGTCTGTGACGAACCCTGAGGTGGTCGACTCCTCACCTGGCAAAAGTCATCAGCGGAATTAAATCTGTGTAAATGTCTTCAATCTCTTTCTCTAGTTTTGCACCTGTGATAAACGAAACACACACTGTCATGTTTAACCACCAGCACAGACGGCAAAGTTCAATTATGAAGAAAATAACATCCCATGGAGTCATGTTATTTTATAAGAGAACTTATATATATTCCGTGCATAGTGACACATGCGACATCTTGATGATGTAGCTGTCAAGTGAAATAAGATGAAGTGCTAATGTTGCATTTCATATAAAGTACACCATCATGAACAATAATAAAACATTACAACATCAACACAAACAATGATTTGACATACCAAAAACCAATAATATCAACAATAATGACGTATGAACATCAACAACAATACGATTATTGTTCATATCAAGATCAACAATATATCAACATCAACAATTACCTATCAACAACAATATTAATGTCACTATCAACACCACAAATCTAATTCTTAGCACCAGCTATTAATCTATTTTACACAATAATATCCACAATATAACCACAATCTTAATAACTGCAACTACAACCACAATCATAATAGCCACATTAAAACTAAAACAACTATAACAGTCGCAGTATAAGCACAACCATATCAACATCTGCATGAAAACCACAAACAACATTCTAACCCAAGACAAAAACAAGGATTTCCCGTTTTAAGCCCACACAGACTGTTGGGGCAAGTGCAGGTAGCGAGCGCCTGTGAAGGTCATGAAGGCACACGAGGGAGTGAGATGACCAGCACCACGCCCTGCTACCTCTTTCTCCATAGTGGCCATGCTTACACATAGCACCAGGTACGTATTTGAGGCTGAGTCGACCTAGAAGAGGCCCAGGACTAATTTAAGATAATCATCATTGGTGTTTGATCATAAGTGGGAATCGAACTCAGGTGGTCAGGTTTAAAGCGCAGCATGCTAACCGCTACACTACTGCTCCCCGCACATTCTTATCGCAATCATAACCACAAGCATAACCGCAACATTACAACAGCCAGAATATAATCACAACCACAATTTAACCACGACAGGCACATTATAAACAGATCCACATTATATTCACAAAACCACAAAATAACCAAAATCAAAGCCATGACACACCCACAATATACCTACAACCATAACACATTAAAACCACAACCATAACTACCACATTATAACCACAATAGGCACAAACCACAACCCAACATAACCAAACCATAACCCTATTATAACCACAACCACATTACAACCACACCCATAATCACTTCATAACTGCAACCATAACCACAACCATTATAACGACAATAATCAACACATTATAATCACAACCACAAAATATTAAACTTGTTTTTCTGTCTCAGCAAGTTAATTCAAAGATAGCAAAATTGTATATATTTCTTATGTATATTCACACAACTTTTACACAATTTCCAGGGAATGTCCTCGGCAAGAGATTTTTTTTTCAGTTGTATGCCAGACAGATGGACGGACATGTGCGAACGAGATTTATAAATCATAACTTTGGATATTTTTAGGTTAAAATATAAGTATGAGGTAAGTAAGTGCAGATGTGCAAGTCTTGTTGGTGAGGAAAAATAAACAACATGAAAAACTACATTAAATAATCATAATTATGTAGTCTAGCATAGTTTGATACAAGACTGATTGGTCTGTTATAATGAATCATCATTGGCACTGCCAAAAATGACATTACCAGAACTCATGGTAACACGACTGGTGAGCTGCCCTGTCGAATGAAGGCCGTGTTTGTGCAGATCCACTTAGCAGAGTACATAATGTGTAGTCGTAGCACAGGTACTCACTAACGTCCACAGTGTAAGTCATCAGCATTTGGAACATGATCTCAGTGACGATTTGGAGAGGGATCTCAGAGTCATCTTGGGTGGGAGTGTCCTGGATCTTCTTGAGCAGCTCTAGGAAGCACATGTGGCTCTTGTAAGGCGGTGAACACTGCAACATGCTCGTATTACAGGCGCACAGCAGCAACGATAACTGAATGTGTTTGTATGAACGAGTATAATATACAGAAGGTATGTAGAAATTAATTTCCGTGGAATGTCAGGGTCATAATGTGATCCAATAATCGAACTGTCTAATTATTACAATCTTGTTTTATTTTCCTTGTTTTGCTTAACTTGTTGTATAAGTCGAAAGGCAGTTTAGTATATAATTTGCATGTCATTTACATACTATGTTTAAAATATTTTACGCATATTTTGCGAGCATGAGAAATAACATGTCCTCATGAACTGATGAAGCGATAGATGACGTGATAGATAAAGCGATAGATAAAGCGATTTATGAAGCGATAGATGAAGCAATAAATGAAGCGACAGCTGAAGTGAGAGCTGGGGGCGATATTCCAGATAAACTCTTGAGGACGGTGCACGTCCCTGCAGAGCTGTCTCAGTAACGCTCCCACACAGCGGACGCTGTCTACACACCTGCACCTCCCTGCCGCAGAAAGGCCTCCTTAACGTCCACTTTCTCCTTCTCGGTGTGCTCCACACTCAGCATGTTCAGAATGTTTATCAATGGCTTGACGACAGTGAAGTCAAATCTGTAAAAAATAACACACGCACAATTCAAATATAAACTTGGAAAGTGATCAATACTGGCGCATAATTGAAGACCCCACTGCATTAGTCATTGTTGTATTAGTAATTTATGGCTTTGGGAGAGCTTACCAATTTCAGATCAGCTGGGAAAGTTGTATATACAGTAAACCCTTAATGTTCGTGGGGTTTCGTTCCTGGGGAATGGCGCAAATACTAAATCAGTGAATATTAATACTTAAAGCTTATGAGGAAAACAGGGTTAAGAGCATAAACATATTACCTTTAAACATAAACATATAAACTACTAGCAGGAAGTACCTGGCGTTGCCCGGGGGGAAACTATATTTAAAAACTTGTCTTCTCTTAAAAACATAACATATACATACACAAATACTAAGCTATTGTGAAAGCCCGGCGTTCCGTTTGTCTGTCCATTTTCCCGTCAACAAAATTATAAGAGACCTGCAGAAGTCCTGAATAAAAAAGTAATAGAAAGTGGGGGTACATAGTTGATCTAAAAGGTTTCCAAAAAATGTCGACTCCCCCCTCCAAAAATCTTTTTACCCCCCCCCCCAGCCATTTTTTATTTTGGAGGCATAGATACCTACCCACCCTACATACAATAGTCAGTAGTATCTAGTGACTCTATGGTAGTACCTACTGACTCTAAAATAGCATCTAGTGATTCGAAAGTAGTATCTAGTGACTATACAGTAGTATCTATTGCCTCTAAAATAGTATCTGGCTCTACAGTAGTATCTACTGACTCTATGGTTGTATCCACTGACTCTACAGTAGTATCTGACTATAGTAGTATCCACTGACTATATAGTAGCATATACTGACCGTAGTAGTATATACTGACAGTAGTAGTATCTACTGACTCGAAAGTAGCATCTAGTGATTCTATAGTAGTAACTAGTGAGTCTACAGTAGTATCTACGGACTCTACAGTAGTATCTACTGACTCTACAGTAGTTTCTACTGACTATAGTAGTAGCTACTGACTGTATAGTAGTATATATTGACTGTAGTAGTATCTCAGTTTCAGTTTTATTAGGTATATCCCTGTGAGCCATGCAGCTCTTGAATCGGGTGCAACCGCAACAAACAAAAACATGAACAAGAAACATCTTAAAGTGACTACTCGCAACATAAAAATCCAGGAAAAAAAAGTCTTCCAGAAAAAGTACCGTATATCAACGCTGTGCGCAAAAATCCCAGTGGGATGCAAGTCAAACAATAACAACCATAAGACAATTTAAATTAAAGTTATCAGTCTAACTCTGTACTACAACAAACAAATATGGCTAAACCAAAACGCTTTCGAAATCAACAAAATAAAGCTATTAAAACAATGTAACAGTGTTCATAGGAACTGTTATTCAAATTTAAATAATAAACGATATACATAACATGTACGACCAAACTTTGCAGCCATAGCTGACAGCATCTACTGACCGTGGTAGTAGTAGTAGTATCTACTAACTGTAGTGGTATCTACTGAGTGTAGTAGTATCTAGTATCTACTTACCCCTATAGTAGTATCTACTGACTCTGTAGTAGTATCAACCGACTGTACAGTAGTATCTACCGATTATACTATAGTAATATACCGACTCTGCAGTTGTAACTACTGACTCTACAGTAGTATCTATTGACTCCATAGTAGTATCTACTGAGTCTGCAGTAGTATCTACTGACTGCAGTAATACCTACCGACTCTACAGTAGTATCTACCGTCCCTACAGTAGTATATATTGACTCTATAGTATTATCTACTGAGTCTACACTAGTATCTACTGACTGTAGTAGTATCCTACCGACTCTACAATAGTATCTACCGACTCTACAGTAATATATATTGACTCCACAGTAGTGTCTACCGACTCTACAGTAGTATCTACCGACTCTACAGTAGTATCTACCGTCCCTACAGGAGTATCTATTGACTCTATAGTAGTATCTACTGAGTCTACAGTAGTATCTATTGACTGTAGTAGTATCCTACCAACTCTACAATAGTATCTACTGACTCTACAGTAATATCTATTGCATCTACAGTAGTAGCTATCGACTCTACAGTAGTATCTACCGACTTGACAGTAGTAACTGCCGACTCTGCAGTAGTGTAGTGGGCTCAAACGGAGACTCAGACGTACTCTTGGAGGCAACACATTTATTAACACCAACACACTAACACAAAGGGGTAACTGCCCCTTTACCAGATAACATCCTAGGATGGTGATCCACCAGGTTATCTACACTAATTACACCATAACTGGCTACAATGGACCGGACCCCAGGTCGGGTCCCAGTCCACGTGTTGGTGACTCTTCTCCGACGTCGAACGTAGAACGTAGACTCTTCAGGTTAACAACCGCCCCCGGTCCCACTGGGGGCCCAGCTTATATCCTGTGTGGTGGGGCTCGCTCTGCCCCAAGGCACGACCACCTTCTCGAATCCTCGAGGAGGATTTCCAACTAGACACGTGGTCCCCCATCCTCCCTTTGGGGGTCCCCGGGTAGACACAACCGGTCACGTGTCTTCTGGGCGTCCGGGGTCAACCAGAGTGCCATGGCCCCTTGCAACCCCGTTCCGTCGCCGTCACCCTCGCACCCTATCCTGTAGGGGCTGGCACTGCGTGCCGAGCATGGTGCTATCCAATGTTGTCGGTCAGTGCTCCCCGAGCCCCGCTTGGGACGGTACTGCATCCACCTTCAATGGTGTCCGCAATGTCAATACATCGCGTGCCGTGCCTCTCCCAGGCCGGCTTCACACCGTGACATCCAACGACGTCACTACAGTAGGAACTACCGACTCTGCAGTAGTATCTATTGACTCTATATTCGTATCTACTGAGTCTACAGTAGTATCTACCGACTATACAATAGTATCTACTAACTCTACAGTAGTATCCACTGACTCTACAGTAGTATTTATTTACTCTACAGTAGTGTCTAATGACTGTAGTAGTATCTACCGACTCTACAGTAGTTTCTCCCGACTTTATAGTAGTATCTACCTATATTATTTGGGTCTTTCAGTAAAGTCACGTAGATAGGTTCAAAGAAAATTACAAAAAACTCAAACTTTTCAATCGCAACACAAGCGGTCATCATCAGGAAAAGGGGGGTAGGCTCTAAAGGCAAACCGTAAATGGGCGTAGCCCAAGTGTCAGCAGCATGGGCGGGGTAGCTAATGTTAATGTAAGGGAAGTTTCTGCAAGAGGTGATGGTAGTGGTGGATAGTGATGGTCCTGGTAGTGGGCTTCCACCAATTAAAGGGCTGCCAGGTCTAAAATGGAAACATTACAGCCAGTTATTACTTAAATTGGTTAATAACGTCCTTCCAGTGATTGCTAAGTTTGTACCCATCGTCTCGGTTGATTCCGATTCCAAAGAACACAGGATGAGATGTTACTATCCTTTGTGCAAGCACGTCCAAGAGTTCATGAACAGTGAGCCTGGTGAAATTTGGGGAGCGCATCGTCAGTAGTGACCCTTGAAATTGTGTCTATGTCTTTATATATGGATGGCTTCATGAACAAATCTTTGTTGATAACCAGTGGGTTTGCAAAGTACCTTCGTCTTAGAGAAATGTATTTCGTGTGAGCCAACCGCATTAAAACAATGATCAGCCACGGCTGAGGTATTGGTCCTCCCGTGTTTCAGTTCACGAACATGGTCCAAGACATGTCGCTTAGTTTCCCCAATGTAACTACTGCAGCAGACACAGTTTAGTTTGTAGACGCCGGTATTACATCCTTCACAGATGGGATCAGATCTCGCATTTTATGTACTGTGTTCAATCGAACCTGGATCTTGTGTTTGCTCATGATTTTTTAAATATTTTTGGTGACCCCTGCTATGTATGACAGGGTGATGGTTTTGATTGGGTCCTCAAATGGTTCTTTCCCAACAGTTGGTGTGATAGCTTTACGGATTGTGTAGTCTGACCAGTGGCGGCTCCTGCAAAATCTCTCAGGGGGGGCAAATGTCTGGATGATTGATAAGGATAAGGTCCACCCATGCAATGGATAAATTAACAGCTTAAGCATGTAAAGGCAACTTCACTTCTTTAATATTAATGAAAAATAAAGTGACTCTTACAATACATCTTGTTTGTTTCTATACTCACTATTAAAACAAACCACTCAAGTTTATTTTATTAAAGATTCCACTAGATTTTGATTTAAAACTTTCGTGACTGCAGGGATTCATCTTCTTGGTTCTTTCGGTAAAGTCACGTAGAAGGGAAGTAATAAAATAATAAAAATAAAACATAATAAAATTATTCTCACGACGTTTCGGCCACAACGCAAGCAGCCGTCCTCAGGTGAAAACCAGGTCCGTCGAGGCGACAGAGTCTGAATGAAACAGCACACGAGCTTGGAGCATATATATAAGCTGGGCGCCTTGACAAAGGAATTTGCATATCAAGAGGAATTTAGCATATTTATGGGAAATGCAGGAATGTGATTAGTACTACATATGCATGTGCATTATGCAGGATGAACAGCATCAAAGGGAGCTGCAGTTGCTGCTGCTGCTGCTGCAGTTGCTGCTGCTGCTGCAGTTGCTGCTGCTGCAGTTGCTGCTGCTGCTGCAGTTGCTGCTGCTGCTGCAGTTGCTGCTGCTGCTGCATTTGCTGCCTTATCCATTTTAATATAACACTATGTATTATTCTACCCACCCTAATGTGTATCACACTGCTATATATTTACTATACAATTACGACACCATACATTACTCTGCACACTGCACCATGCCAGTGAGTGGAACGTTGTGGCCGAAACGTCGTGAGAATAACTTGCGTTGTGGCCGAAACGTCGTGAGAATAATTTTATTTAGTTTTATTTTTATTATTTTATTACTTCCCTTCTACGTGACTTTACCGAAAGAACCAAGAAGAAGATTCCACTAGGTGGCGATAAATGATATTGTTGGATGAAACGTGCTTACGTATGATGACGTTAGCACGTATGATGACGTAAGCACGT